ATGGCAGGTGTGGACAGAGGAGCAGCCACCAGGTCACGTATCACCCCGGGCAGTGAGAAAGAGTTCCACAATTTTAACTATGAGAGTGACTTCGAGGCCGATGAAGAGGTAAGCTGTGCCACTTTTGTAGTCTATATCTCTGCTGGTGTACAAATAACATCACAAGTTGTTTGTTTCCATTTAACTGACATATACCACATGAACGTAATGAAACAAGGCACAAAATATATTTATTCAAGAGCTAATTTAAGGGTGTAAGGCAACATTTTTACCATATTAGAGTCCTTGCATTTTTATCTAAGAACATGATCTTTTTATTTATAGTGAACCCCAGGGCACACTGCAATGATTTCTTCTCCTGTGGGTGAACCTACTAGGGATGCTTCACAATTATTCACCCCAGATTAAGATTTTTTTTTTTTTGCCCTTTTTCACAAATGATTATCTTTTTTTCATTGCTATAGAATACATAAATTGTAATTTTTGTTTTTAATGAATCAAATTATTTGGCTTTGTGTTATGCATACCTATAGCCTTGATGTTGGTGAGGGAATTGGACCTGTCCTCCCCTTCCTTAGATCAAACCCAGTTGCCCCTCATTCTCTCAGGCACTATATAACCCCTATGGGTTTAGCACTCCCCCATGAACATTATAATATTTGTAATAATCATGTGTTTGATGCATCCCTTGTAGAATTTTAATTTAACAATCTGTAAAAGTATATGTAAATTTGAACCTATAAACTTTTTTACCTTTCTCTTTTTACTACTAATAATGTAAGAAGTGCATTGGACTCACTTTTGCACTACAAAACATGTAAATAAAATGATCCCTTTTGTGACATGCCAGGATCCCAACAACATCACACTGGCTAACACAACACTGACTAAAATGAAACTGCTGAGGAAGAAGCAGGAGCACCTGAAGGAGATTGAGCGTCGGCGGCAGGAGCGGGACAACAGGCGGACACAGGAGGAGCGAGCAAGGAAGTACCGCCAACTGGAGATCCAACACAGCCAGAGCTCCCTCCAACCTTCCAGAGCAGACAGTGGAGACTCCAGCCTAGGTATGTACTGGGCAGGGGTAGGGATGGAGTATGGTATTGTAAGTACATACAGAGATGGAAGGAGAGAAGGAAGGATGGAAGGGCTGAAGCAAACAAAGCATGAGATAAAAAAATAATGAATCTATTGTCTTCTTTGCTCAGTTCATTTGTATTAGAAAATTTCAACTGGGACTAATTCATAAAATTGCATTTTTATATTCAAAATTAACGGAATCTTACAAATGGTATGGAAGCCAGCACAACCTACAATGACTTTGCAATCATTGTAGGTCATGCAAAGCACCACAACTGCCTAGTCCTCCCTAACTTCCACCATAATCTTCTGTACTAGCTATCTATAATTGATGATTGGCATGGTGAGCTTGTTTATGCAATTTTAATTATTTTAACATTTCTTAACCAAGGTTCATTAGTTTTCCTATGTAAGTACAGTAAGTGTACAGTAATTGTATTACCCTTCATTTACTGCTTTGAAAGCAAAAAAAATATTTACACTCACAAGATCAAGAAAAAGTCCATTTTCAATTTCAGTGTATTACAACAATATGGTAAAAGATATGAAAATGCAATTCTTCATATACATACTCTAATTATTGTAACATGAGGTTCCATCAGATGGATTGTGCATGATGGCCCCCTTCCCATGCTCCCTTATGCTTCTTTTTGTAAGGGTTTGTGAAGAATTATGTTTCCCAGATGACAGTAGCTGACATTAAAATACTTTATACAGTCCTCCATCACAAATCCGGCATCATTGGGACCTGTAGTGTGCCGGATTACTGAGTTTGCCGAATTACAGAGTGGTTAGGTTAGAATACACTTAATAAAATTAACCAACTTGACTTACACAGTTCATTGAACATCGGCAAAAATCGAACATTTCCGCTACTTTCAGCTCAATTTCAAGGTACTTTTCATTATGAAAGCAATCAAAATCATGTCTATTTCTGTAATATATCTTCCATTCTATCAAATGAGTCCAAAAATTGAGAATACAACCATAAAAACCATACGAAAATATACTGCAAAGAGGCGGCTAATGGCTGAGAAGTGAACTCCCTTATTTACCGTCCGTCTTTTTTATTTTTGTTGTACGTTAAGAAGCATCTTTCCATCATACATTGCCCAAGTTTCAATGAGATAGCCCAACAAACAACCGAGAAAAAAAATATTTACCAAAAATCATATATGGCATGCCCAAGCCAGGTACTGGAAATAAGTCACTTTGTCTGACTTTTCTGGGTTATCCTAGGTTCTCTATACATACACTGCTATGTATGATAATCTATATAACTATATTTGTGTATACCTAAATAAACTTATTTACTTCTAGTCTGTCAACTGAGTACAAGAAACCGCCCATTCACTTATTTCAACTTCCCAATAAAGTGGTCAGAAATTGGCAATTTGGCCAATTTCACACAAATTTCAACAGATGCCAATTTCAAAATAGGATCCAGAATAAACAATGCAGACATTCCTGGCACTAAAATAACATTTTCTCTGTTCATTAGTCACGGCTACAGGCCCCTCTTATATTACTCTTGCTTACCATTTGGAATTTTTATTCACAAAAAAATAGAAGATTTACTGTTATGCACACTACTGCATTATTGTAATAATTGTATAAATAATGTCAGTCCATTCTTGACTCCATATTGGAATTTAGACTGGCAGGCAGACAGGTATTGGACAGTGATGTCATTTGTTTACTCTTGAGCTTCGCTAAAGAATAGAACATTTTCGCTACTGTGAGCGCAATTTCAAGGTACTTTTCATCATGAAAGCAATCAAAATCATGTCTATTTCTGTAATATATCTTTCATTCTATCAAATGAGACTGAAAAAACGAGAATATAACCATAACAACCATACAAAAATATACCGCTAAGCGGCCACTAATGGCTGAGAAGTGAACTCCGCTATTTATGGTCTGATTTCTTTCATTTTTGGTGTACGTGAAGAAGTGTCTTTCCATCATACATTGCCCAAGTTTGAATAAGATAACCCAACAAACAACTGAGAAAATAATAATAATATAATAATAATAATATCTTTATTTACTACACGTACATGTACAAGGTATACAGGCCTAGCTGACATCAGTGACATACTACTGTATAGAAAGGCACTTGTTATGCTGAGTATTTCAAGAAAATTAGGTCAGTGTCCCAGGATAACACCCACACCAGTCGACTAACACCCAGGTACCTATTTACTGATGGGTAAACATAGACAACAGGTAAAGTAAAAGGACACATGTGCAACTAATGTGACATTTTATTGTGGCAACGTTTCACTCTCCAGGAGCTTTATCAAGCCGTTACGGCTTGATAAAGCTCCTGGAGAGCGAAACGTTGCCACAATAAAATGTCACATTAGTTGCACTTGTGTCCTTTTACTTTATATATTGTCGGTAATTCTACCAACATTATTACATAGACAACAGGTGTAAAGAAACACGCCTAATATTTCTACCCTGGCTGGGAATCGAATATTTACCAAAAATCATATACGGAGGGCCCCGCTTTACGGCGTTTCACTTTACGGCGTTCCGCTAATACGGTCATTTCAAATTATGACCAAAACTCGCTATACGGCTCCCCCCACCTGACTTTCTAATACGGTCACCGTGCCCCACCCTGTTTGTTTACATTCTTCGTGAGCTCAGTAAGCACTAAGTCTCTCCATTTTGTCTGGAAACTTCAAAATTTCAAATGTTTTTAAAAGTTATTTCATATTTTATATATACTCTGATAATTATACTTATGTATACCTGTACCTAAATAAACTTACATACTGTGCTGGCATGCAGGTACACATTAAAATCGGTAAGTGTCTTATGTCTCCAGACGTCATATTAGTAATGATAATAATAATCATCGAGTCATTTAAATGTCGTATATTACGTTAATATACACATTTTCATTAATCCATCTATGATATTTTTTTCAAAATTATATAATAAACACGATGCATAACATATAAATAAGATAAATACACCCCACAGGAGAATAAATAAACATAAATGTGAGATGTGGTAGCAGACGACTTGCACAAGTGACGCCATATTAGAAATGATAATAATAACAATACTCACCAAGTCTCATTAAATGTCGTATATTACGTTAATATACACATTTTCATTAATCCATCCATGATATTTTTTTCAAAATTATATAATAAACACGATACATAACATAAAAAGATGATAAATACACCCCACAATAGAATAAATAAACATAAATATAAGATGTGGGAGCCAGATAACTTGTACAAGTGATGGCAAGAATAACATTTTCTCTAATCTAACATAAGAGAAAATGTGTTACTGGGGGTAACTGTAGAAAATTATTCCTTTCGTATGTATGTAAGTAAGTTTATTCAGGTATACACAAATACAGTTACATAGATTATCATACATAACAACATATGTGTAGAGAACCTAGGATAACCCAAAAAAGTCAGTGTGACTTATTTCCATTGCCTTCACTCAGAGCTTCATTCTTCTCAAAATGATGTTACATGAGAATGGGAGTGTTCTTCTTTATTAATTCTACCGTATCAATGTAGAGACAACCTGTGCACAATGTAACTTGTACACAAACCAGACGTGTACACTTCGTTTGTTTACAAAACTTACGTTTGCCTGGTTTGTTTACATAACTCTGCGCCTGTCCCCTCTCATGTACTCATTCTTTCTCTCTCTCATTTATTCGTTTTATCTCATTTACTTACTCCTGACCCTACATTAAGACTACAAATATTTTAAGGTAAGTAATGAGTGAACTGTATATACATTTTATCGCTCTGGGATGCTTAAATATCATAGAATATATGTGTGGGTGGGTTGGCCTGGTATGGTAGCCCGGCTGACTACCATACATACCACACTTGATTTTTTACAATAAATACTACTCATCTCACCCTATATTTTAAGGTAAGTAATGAGTGAACTGTATATACATTTTATCGCTCTGGGATGCTTAAATATCATAGAATAGTATGTGTGGGTGGGGTGGCCTGGTAAGGTAGCCTGGCTGATTACCATACATACCACACTTGATTTCTTACAATAAATACTACTTGTCCCACCCTAGATTAAGACTATAAATATTTTAAGGTAAGTAATGAGTGCACTATGTGTGTATTGTACTTTTTTATTGTTTTTTGATGCCTGGTTCTATTGATAACTTGATATATGTTAGTGTAAACTTGTTATCTAGTGTTTGTATGCATTTATAAGTGGAAAAAAAGGGTGTTCCACTTTACGGCGGTTTCCGCTTTATGGCGGTAGCCTGGAACCTAACCTGCCGTATAAGTGGGGCCCTGCTGTATGTATGGTTAACCCAAGCCAGGTACTAAAAATAAGCCACGTTGACTTTTTTGGGGTTATCTTAGGTTCTCTACACATATGCTGCTATGTGTGATAATCTATAGAGAGAAAATAACTTTTTTGTTTCATGTTTATGGTGGAGTAAGAGTGTATATCATAGTTAGCCCTGTGCTACACTCCGTTTTCTCTAATATAAGCCGCCAAGACAAGGATAGGAGAATGGTATTTGTTTACCACATCCTCTTCATAACTCTGTCGAACTGCTCGGTGTTATGCCAAATATTATTCATTCTGGAGTATGTATTTAACATGTTTTATGTTATTTATATTGTTTCTTATGTCATATTAGATCAGTTGTGATAGGCAAATAAGCTGTAGTGTTGATATTAGCATAATAATAAAGCATATTCTCCTGCTTCATGAGACTGAGCTTATGGCAACCGACAGTGGCTTCAAAGCCACCTTATCTTTAATGGATAATGTACTGTGTAGGTGCTTTACATAATGAGAAGCATTTCTTTTATTCATTGGAACCATGGCTAGGGCTAAAAGTAAGCAGGTTAAAACAATAAATGGAGAAAAAGAAATTGGAATGACTTATGCAGCAAGTAGCGCCACCAAACAGTACCAGCAGGTTGGTGTGGCAACCCTGGAAATTTGAAATTATGCTAGCCAAAATTAGTGCCGAATAACTGAAGGAACCGAATAACTGATTGCCGGATTTGTGATGGCAGACCTGTACCAGAATAAATAATGGCATCAGGAAAGCCACACTGAATAAGTTGCCAATACTGTCTATGGAGTGAACCAGAGTATTGATTAGGTGTGCTACATGTAACTAAAGGTGTTCATGATAAAACTGCAGAGATTTGATACCCATGAAGCTGTGGTAAAACTCTTATTAGTTTGACTATCATATGCAGGCAATGTCATTTTCATGTTACCGTTTTATTGTAGGAAAAAATTAAATTAAAAATTTTCTATGAGCACCCTATAAAATCCAACACTTTTCATTTCATTACATAAGAACATAAGAAAGGAGGAACATTGCAGCAGGCCTATTGGTCCATACTAGGCAGGTCCTTTACAATTTAACTTGGATCTTCATTGTTGTGAGAAGATTGAAGGTCTTGTTCATTTATTACTAGTACAACAAATTATATGTTTTGCTTGTTTATACACTTTAGTCTTGGGATGATAAAAGGTTGCTGTTGCCTTTTATGCAGATTATGTCTTGCGATGGAGGAATTATTTCATTATTTCTGGACAATATTTTGATTGACTCCATGGGGAAGCAGAAAAGAATTCTTCATCCATAAGCCACATGTGTCATAATAGGCAACTAAAATGCCAGGAGGGAGAGGCTGGTAACCCCTTCTCCTGTATAAATTACCAAATTTAAAAAGAAAAAAAAAAAACGTGTTTTTCTTTTTAAATTTCGTAATTTGTACAGGATGAACTAAAAAGAAAAGCTTTTGTTTTTCTTTTTAGGTCACCCTGCCTCACTGGGATACGGTTGGTTTGCTGAAAAAAAAAAATGATTGAATCAGTCATTCTGTATCAGATTTTGTACAATTTTCAAATGGCCTTGTGTCATATGATGTGGTACTTGAAGCTCTTTTTTCTTGTAAATGTTTGATTGGTTATGTAGCAAATGCACAATTTATTTGTACAATAAACATTCTGTATCCTCTTGCTACAACAGGATAGCTGAAAGAAATCTTTCTTTCAACACACCGGCCGTATCCCACCAAGGCAGGGTGGCCCAAAAAGAAAAACGAAAGTTTCTCTTAAATTTAGTAATTTATACGGGAGAAGGGGTTACTAGCCCCTTGCTCCCGGCATTTTAGTCGCCTCTTACAACACGCATGGCTTACGGAGGAAGAATTCTGTTCAACTTCCCCATGGAGATAAGAGGAAATAAACAAGAACAAGAATTAGAAAGAAAATAGAAGAATACCTAGAGGGGTGTGTGTGTGTATATGCTTGTACATGTATGTGTAGTGTGACCTAAGTGCAAGTAGAAGTAACAAGACATACCTGAAATCTTGCATGTTTATGAGACAGACAAAAGACACCAGCAATCCTACCATCATGTAAAACAATTACAGGTTTTCGTTGTACACTCACTTGGCAGGACGGTAGTACCTCCCTGGGCGGTTGCTGTTACTACCTAGGCTGAAAGAGATATATATAAAAAAAAATACATTTGCTGAGTAACCATCATAAGTCAATCTGTGGCATTGGTGTAGCTCTGTAAATGATGTGTATGTTGTTAGTCAGGCTAAGCACCCTTGGGTCTTGCCAATAGCTGGATGGGTGACTGCATGAGCACACTCACCTCTGGTTACTGTAGTGGTAACTCAGCAAGTCTTTGACTTTCACTCCTTGACATAGAGTTAAACCCCAGAATCCATGCAAGCTGTGTGATGCATTCCATTATACACTTACTGCAGGTCGTTTTGCAGTGGCTTCAATTTTTCTCATTTTTTGGTATCTCTTGTTGTTTTTCTTAGTGCATGAACCCTAAATTAAAAACTAACCATTGGATTTTATTGGAAATGTGTTTTTTCTCAATGTCAGTATTAGGTGGATTAAAGCAAAATTTAGACTTGGCTAAACAGTACTTAAATAATTTAGACATGGAAAATTTCCTTTATCTGCAGCATCAGGGCTCTTAGCACATCCAGGACCCTATTACTTGTGAGTTACCAGGCTCAACTGTATACTATATACAGTACCATACTGTACTACATCAAGAATTTGTAGTCCAGAGTATAGTACAATACTGGACTGTCAATTGACTTGTGATTTTTTGTATCCCTCGTACATCTGACTCTTAACATTTATATTAGTTTCTTTCATTGCTTTTTGATATCCTTTTACAGCTCAAACTTTGTTTCATTATAACTTCATACAGCATGTATTTTTCTGTATTAAATACATATAAATAAAAGGTATTATTATCTGTGCTTAGCACTCTAGTTTTTTACTCTAAACAAACACATTGTGCCGGTATACATTACAGCTGTTCGCACTACTCTGAACTACACGGGTCAAACTACCAGAGCCAGTCCTCAGCCCAGTCCACTACATGGTGTCAAGCCCAACCCTCACCTAAGTCCTCGACCGAGTCCACGCCCAAGCCCTGTTCCCAATCCTCCATCTCGTATTAATTTACCCAAGAGTAAAAGTCACCATGGCAATCTGAGCAAAAATTTAAGCCGAGGTATTGGTAATGCTGAGAGGCGGAATCGTTCACTAGAGAGGCATACGACCTCACAGACTAGTGGCGTCCACACACGAGAAACATTCAGGTATGTCATCAAGTGTAAAATCCATCATTCATTCACCAGCTCAATCAGTCAGTTTATTTCCACATGATACACTTCTTGTACAAAACTGGATGACATTAAATCTCTCACATAGAAAGCCCCTTAGTTATGCAGAGCATTTCGGGCAAACTTAAACTTATGTCTAGAAGGACTACAGTATTTTACATGTATGTATGTCTGTAAGACAATAATGATTTTCACAATAAAATAATTACATGAATAGTAAATAAAAGTATATGGAGCAGATAAAATCATAACAAATTACATGGGAATAAGAACTCTTAGGTTATACTACATATATTAAGATTATTCCATTAAAAAATCTAATAAAAATTACAGTAGTTACCTGTATTATTACAGAATGTATTCAGATAATATTTTACATGTATGTATACAAGACATCAATGATATTCACAGTAGAATTGATTCAGTGAGAATGGCTTAATGTATATGGACATAAAATATTAGCAAGGTGAACATGAGAATAAGAATACGTACCTAGATTATACAAAATTTAAAGTACAATGGTACCCCGAGTTTCGTACAGCTCCCAACTCGAACAGTTATGTAAGTGTATTATTGTAAGTGTATTTTTGGGAGTCTGAAACAGATATAATCTAATTTACATTATTCCTTATGGGAAAAAATTCTTTTGGTAACGGCACTCGAACAGCCTTCTGGAACGAATTATGGCCGAAACTCAGGGTACCACTGTATTCAGTAATAGTAGCATAGTATAAAAATGTAAAATATATTATATTATATTGCTGTAAGGAGAGGTTTTTCAACTCATAAAAGTTCTCAAGAGTAAAACGGTCACACTAAAATCTTACTTATAATACTTTGTGTCTTCATACTACAGTGGTTGTCAGTAAGCCCTTCAACCTACTGTAGTACTGTGCTAAATTTGAAAATATGATCTGTTGATGGAACACTTTTAATATTTTGTATTTCATAAATGTTTTCAGTCCAAAACTTATGTAACACTCTCCCAGCTTTTACAGACATGTAAGAAGGAATATGCATAAGTTAGTTAATAAAATATTTATTCATGTACCATTTACCTACAGGACACCCCAGATAGTAAAAAGAGGACAACCTCCTAATGGTTCTGGTGGTCGCTTTGGTAGTGACAACCAGAGCAGTAATCTTGTCAATAATGGGATTACCACCTCACTCGTGAGACGCAATCCTAGACGTTTTCCTGACAGGTGAGTGTTAGGTTTTGCTTTGATTCATATTTCATGGTGTTAATCTGCAATTAATAAATTATATTATAGTACTGAATACTTAATACAGTTAATTGTATCTACAAATAACTACAATGTTGTATCTGGTACTCCTACATAAACAAATACAACATGCTTCATTCCAACAAGTATGGATTCAAGACACCAAATAAGTATGAATGATGACATAAAAAAAAAAGTGCTAGATGTATTCTACATAGTGTTGATACAAGCAAATATCCAGTCATACTATTTACTGCCTTGTGAAAGTCTTCTGGTGCTTTACTGAGTTTATCATTAGAATACAATACATTAGAAGAAACTAATTTTATTTTCAGTGGTTGGAATGTCTACAGTGTTCATTTTGGACTAGTATTTTTAAATTGGAGTTTTTTAATTTTGTGTAAAAGGCCAAATGTTTAATGTAGATTTTACTTTTAAATTTGGATTTTTTAAATTTTGTGTAGAATTGGCCAAATTACCAACTTCTGTGCACTTTATACAGTAGTTCTGACAGTTTCTTGTGCTCAGTCAATAGAACTGAAGGGATATTAGTAAAATAGCTAAGAATTTGGTTGAATGGAGCAAATAAATTTACTTAAAATAGAACTCATAATGGGCGAAATCACTGATACATAAATCATATCTAGACCTCTAACTTTACTCCTGTGTAATTTCCTAAGTTTTTCTTCCAATTTCATACTTTTGGTGTCATTACCTTCAGGAAAAGATTCTGTACCGTTTCAGAAGAATTTTTTTAAATGTGGACGCTGAGAGCAATATTAATTTGGATGTCTGGACGGTGAAAGGGTTAATGAAGGAAGCCTACAGTACAGTATACCGATGAAATACAAAACACTGGAGTAACAAACCAGGCATTATCATATGATAAATGTTCAGTTAATTAATTAGTGTCTGCTGTAATCTATCGTTTTGGGAAGTGGAATAAGAATCTTTCCTCCATAAGCCATGCGTGTTGTAAAAGTCAACTAAAATGCTGGGAACAATGGGCTAGTAACCCCCTTTCCTGTAAAGATTACTAAAAAGAATAATAAGAAGAAAATTGCCAAAGTGGGAAGTCTGAATGTGCGTGGATGTTGTGCAAGTGATAAGAAAGAGATGATTGTGGATGTTATGAATGAGAAGAAGCTGGATGTCCTGGCTTTAAGCGAAACAAAGCTGAAGGGGGTGGGAGAGTTTCAGTGGAGAGGAATAAATGGGATTAGGTCAGGGGTTTCAAATAGAGTTAGAGCTAAAGAAGGAGTAGTAATAATGTTGAAGGATAAGATATGGCAGGAAAAGAGGGACTATAAATGTATTAATTCAAGGATTATGTGGAGTAAAATAAAGGTTGGATGTGAAAAGTGGGTTATAGTAAGTGTATATGCACCTAGAGAAGAGAGAAGTGTAGAGGAGAGAGAGAGGTTTTGGGAAATGTTGAGTGAATGCATGGGGACTTTTGAACCAAGTGTGAGAGTACTTGTGGTTGGGGTTTTAAATGCTAAAGTGGGTAAAAATGTTGTGGAGGGAGTAGTAGGTAAATTTGGGGTGCCAGGGGTAAATGTAAATGGGGAGCCTTTAATTGAGCTAAGTGTAGAAAGAGATTTGGTAATAAGTAATACATATTTTATGAAAAAGAGGATAAATAAATATACAAGGTATGATGTAGCACGTAATGAAAGTAGTTTGTTAGATTATGTATTGGTAGAGAAAAGGTTAATGGGTAGGCTCCAGGATGTATATGTTTATAGAGGGGCAACTGATATATTGGATCATTATTTAGTTGTAGCTACAGTTAGAGTAAGAGGTAGATGGGACAAGAGGAAGGTGGCAACAACAAGTAGGAGGGAAGTGAAAGTGTATAAACTAAGGGAGGAGGAAGTTCGGGTGAGATATAAGCAACTATTGGCAGAAAGGTGGGCTAGTGCAAAGATGAGTAGTGGGGGGGTTGAAGAGGGTTGGATGAGTTTTAAAAATGCAGTATTAGAATGTGGGGCAGAAGTTTGTGGTTATAGGAGGGTGGGCACAGGAGGAAAGAGGAGTGATTGGTGGAATGATGAAGTAAAGGGTGTGATAAAAGAGAAAAAGTTAGCTTATGAGAGGTTTTTACAAAGCAGAAGTGTTATAAGAAGAGCAGAGTATATGGAGAGTAAAAGAAAGGTGAAGAGAGTGGTGAGAGAGTGCAAAAGGAGAGCAGATGATAGAGTGGAAGAGGCACTGTCAAGAAATTTTAATGAAAATAAGAAAAAATTTTGGAGTGAGTTAAACAAGTTAAGAAAGCCTAGGGAACGTATGGATTTGTCAGTTAAAAACAGAGTAGGGGAGTTAGTAGATGGGGAGAGGGAGGTATTAGGTAGATGGCGAGAATATTTTGAGGAACTTTTAAATGTTGAGGAAGAAAGGGAGGCGGTAATTTCATGCACTGGCCAGGGAGGTATACCATCTTTTAGGAGTGAAGAAGAGCAGAATGTAAGTGTGGGGGAGGTACATGAGGCATTACGTAGATAAAAGGGAGTAAAGCAGCTGGAACTGATGGGATCATGACAAATGTTAAAAGCAGGGGGGGATATAGTGTTGGAGTGGTTGGTACATTTGTTTAATAAATGTATGAAAGAGGGGAAGGTACCTAGGGATTGGCAGGGAGCATGTATAGTCCCTTTATATAAAGGGAAGGGGGACAAAAGAGATTGTAAAAATTATAGAGGAATACGTAACTGTAACTGATTTCATCAACAATATGAACAACACACTTCTCATACCAACAATAACTAAACCAACCAGGCTCACTGAGACAAGTACAACCATAATAGACCACATATGGACCAATATACTAGCCCCCCTTAAATCAGGGATAATCACAGATAGCACTACAGACCACTACCCTACCTTCCTCCTGACAAACATTAGTAAACCACCACTTGAATACAACGAAGTCTCATTTACACTCCATGATGAGGCCTCAATAAGGAAGTTCACAGCTGACCTAGAGATTGTTGACTGGCCTACAGAATTCTCCAAGGCCAATGGTATTGATGACTGGACAGACATTTTTCTTAACAAATTACTTAGACTATACAACAAACATTGTCCTATAAAAACGAAACAGATCACAAACAAACGGCTTGGTTGCCCATGGCTAACCAGCACCATTCTGAAATCCATTGACAAGAAACACCAATATGAAAAGCAATACAGACAGGCTTAATACACAAAGTATTCTTAAACATATTCTCAGTTTTCACCAAAGTAAATAAAGAAAGCCAAAAAACTATACTACTCCAGTAGATTCACAGACACTAGAGGAGATATAAAAAAGATCTGAAAAACACTCTCTCAGATTTAGGGCCCCACAAACTGATAAAAAACCAAGAATATTGTCCTAAACTAAACCTAATGAAACACCACTACATCCCACGACACAGCTAACAAGATAAACGACTTCTTCTCAACCCTTTAGGATCTAATCTGCCAAAAAAATCCACATACCAATCCCCATCCCGGGGACTACCTAGATGGGAATTTCCCAAATTCCTTCTATCTTGCACCAACTGAGCCCTCGGAAGTCACCGGATTATAAAGTCACTTAAAACTTAAAAACAACTCAGGGAATCTTTTCTAATGTCCCACCTTTTACTTTTACAAGCGAGTGGCCCATATCCTTTCGCATGCTATTTCATTACTTTTTAACAAGTCACTAGAAACTAGCACCTTCCGAAACTACTCATGATTGGCAAGGGTTACCCCAAATTTACATAAAGGTGGTGCCCCTACAGACTTTAAACAACTATAGGCCAATATCAACTTCCCATTGCTATCCAAAATCTTTGAGAAACTCGTGCACAGGAGACTATATTCATTTATAACAGCACAAAACATACTCAACCCCTGCCAGTTGGATTCGGAAAAAATAAAAGCACTAATGATGCAATCTTAAAATGCTAGATCTGCTTTACACAGCATTGGAAATAAAGATATCCACTAGGAATTTTTATTGACCTAAGAAAAGTTTTTGGGACACAGTTGGACCAGACACCCTACTCCACAAACTTGACCATTACGGTAAAAGAGGCCATGTGTTGTTATTTCAAATTTACCTTCTAATAGGTATCATTTATGTCCCCATTAAAGACACGCATCAACAACACGGCCACTTGAACTAGAGTTCCAGGGAAGTGCCCTTGGTCCCCTGCTCTTCCTCATATACTCTCAATGATTTCCAAACGTACCCCAACACCTGAAACACATTCTCTTTCCTGACGACACGACTTATGTCATCTCTCACCCTAATTTTGCCACCCTCAACACCATTTTTAAACGAGGAGCTGATCAAATATCGACTTGGATGACAGCCAATAAACTTACGCTTAACACTGACAAAACCTACTATATTATGTTTGGTAGCAGAGCAGGAGATGCAAAAAATTAACATTAAGTCGACAACACTCTAATTACCAGACTTTAATGAGGGTAAATTCCTAGGCCTATACCTTGACAACAACCTGAATTTCAGCACCCATTTCCAACACATAACCAAAAAAGTATCCAAAACGGTTGGGATCCTCTCCAAGATACGACACTACGTGCCGCAAAATTTGCCCTTCTCACACTATACTACTCATTATTTATCCATACCTCACCTATGCTATTTGTGCTTGGGGATCAACTGCAGCAACAAACCTAAAGCCAATAATAACCAACAAAAAGCTGCAGTAAGAATAATCACTAAATCCCCTCCCCGGCAACAACACCCCCCACTCTTCATAGATCTAAACTTACTCCCTGTTCAGTTTCATCCACACTTACTACTGTGCAATCTACATCTACAGGGACCTTAAACTCCAATATCAACCTTGACCTAAACACTTTCTTGATAGTTGTGACAGAACCCACAGGGATAACACCAGACACAAACATCTCTAGACATTCCCCATGTCCGACTAAACCTTTACAAATATTCAATGTATGTCAAAGGCCCTAAAATCTGGAACACCCTACCTGAGAACTCTAGAACTGCAGACACATTCATCACCTTCAAAATACCCTTAGGAAAACATCTTAAACTCCCTGATACACCCCTCAACTAACTTTCACTTAAAACCCCCTGGTGGTTCACACTTACACTCACTACCCATTTGACCATAAACAGAAATATTAATCTCAATCTTAAAAAAATGAATCCTATGATACTCCAATACTGAAACTAGTACTGTGCCCAAACAAAAAGCATTCACATTGCTAAACTCACAAACTAGTATTTAGTCACTTAGCCACAATACCAACTTACCTCATAATTTGTAATATTTTAAAATAAAGAATTAAACTAAGTCTGCCCGAAATGCCTAGCCATGCTAGGTGTTCTAGTGGTACACTCTGTAATCATTATTTAACTACATGTAAACCACACAACAACCAAATTCTGTAAATTCAACATCGTAATCTTTATAGAGAATAAACTTAAGTTAATTTTAAGCCAGCCCGTAATGCTATGCATAGTATAAGTGGCTTTGGCATGCTGCTCTTATCTGTATTTTTTGTACCTCTGTATGTGTGCTCAAATTTTTAAATAAAAATAAATAAATAAATAAAATACCAGGAAAAGCATACGGTAGGGTTATTATTGAAAGAATTAGAGGTAAGACAGAATGTAGGATTGCGGATGAGCAAGGAGGTTTCAGAGTGGGTAGGGGATGTGTAGATCAAGTGTTTACATTGAAGCATATATGTGAACAGTATTTAGATAAAGGTTGGGGAAAATTTTTATTGATTTATGGATTTAGAAAGGCATATGATAGTGGATAGGGAGCAAGGGGGCAGATGTTGCCCAAATATTTGGAATAGGTGATAGTTACTAAATGTGGGAAGAGTTTTTATGATGATAGTGGGCTCAGGTTAGGGGTTGTAGAAGAGAGGGAGACGACTTCCTGGTAAAAGTAGGTCTTAGACAGGGATGTGTAATGTCACCATGGTTGTTTTAAAATATTTATAAATGGGGTTTGTAAAAGAAGAAAATGCTAAGGTGTTTGGGGAGGGGGTGGGATTAAATTATGGGGAATCAAATACAAAATGGGAATTGACACAGATACTTTTTTTGATGATACTGTGCTTATGGGAGATTCTAAAGAAAAATTGCAAAGGTTAGTGGATGAGTTTGGGAGTGTGTGTAAAGGTAGAAAGTTGAAAGTGAACATAGAAAAGAGTAAGGTGATGAGGGTATCAAATGATTTAGATAAAGAAAAATTGGATATCAAATTGGGGAGGAGTAGTATGGAAGAAGTGAATGTTTTCAGATACTTGGTAGTTGATGTGTCGGCGGATGGATTTATGAAGGATGAGGTTAATCATAGAATTGATGAAGGAAAAAAGGTGAGTGGTGCGTTGAGGTATATGTGGAGTCAAAAAACATTGTCTATGGAGGCAAAGAAGGGAATGTATGAAAGTATAGTAGTACCAACACTCTTATATGGGTGTGAAGCTTGGGTTGTGAATGCAGCAACGAGGAGGCGGTTGGAGGCAGTGGAGATGTCCTGTCTAAGGGCAATGTGTGGTGTAAATATTATGCAGAAAATTCAGAGTGTGGAAATTAGGAGAAGGTGTGGAGTTAATAAAAGTATTAGTCAGAGGGCTGAAGAGGGGTTGTTGAGGTGGTTTGGTCATTTAGAGAGAATGGATCAAAGTAGAATGACATTGAGAGCATTTAAATCTGTAGGAGAAGGAAGGCGGGGTAGGTGTCGTCCTCGAAAAGGTTGGAAGGAAGGGGTAAGGGAGGTTTTGTGGGCGAGGGGCTTGGACTTCCAGCAGGCATGCATGAGCGTGTTCAATAGGAGTGAATGGAGACGAATGGTATTTGGGACTTGACGATCTGTTGGAGTGTGAGCAGGGTAATATTTAGTGAAGGGATTCAGGGAAACCGGTTATTTTTATATAGCCGGACTTGAGTCCTGGAAATGGGAAGTACAATGCCTGCACTCTAAAGGAGGGGTTTTGGGATATTAGCAGTTTGGAGGGATATGTTGTGTATCTTTATATGTATATGCTTCTAAACTGTTGTGTTCTGAGCACCTCTGCAAAAACTAGTGATTATGTGTGAGTGAGGTGAAAGTGTTGAATGATGATGAAAGTATTTTCTTTTTTGGGATTTTCTTTCTTTTTGGGTCACCCTGCCTTGGTGGGAGATGGCCGACTTGTTGGAAAAAAAAAAATTCTGATGTCCACGTTTATCTTTTGCTTTGTATTATGTCTTGTATTGATTAATTTTCTACTGATTAATGTATTATAATATTTAAATTTCCAAAGAAAACGAAACCATGTCGAAGTGCCAAATCACACAAGTCCCAGGCAAACAAGGCTTCACCGAGATAGGATTGGTAATCTTACACCTCTTAGCAACTCTGGCCCAGTAGCTGTAGGACATCAGCGACCACAACTCAGACATCATGTAGCTTCTGAATTCAGTGCAGTCGAGTCCAGGCTAGTTATAGCTTAACTTTTGGCATATGTTTCTTAGTAAATCTACCTATATCATGTTTGACAAACTCTTGCACAATATTCACACAGAATAATGAGTGATATTTAAGCACATTGTGTTGTTGCAAGTGATATTTCATGAAATTTGTTCATGATAAAAGACAGTTTAAAATGGAAGCCACTTTTCTTGTATCATTCTCTCTTCACATTAATTCAGTGTATGTACTGTATTTTGAAAAATTATATTGTTAATTTTCATAATGAACTCCTGACGGAGATGCAAGTGGTAGAATATTTGTTAGAATATTTTTTTAAAAAATAGCTTAATACTGTACATACCTTTTTCTTGAAGTTTAAAATAGTTTTTGCAGAATACTGTACTCAGAGCATCAAGAAAAAGATCTTAGTTATCATCTGATTATTTTTTTTTTTTTTTAACTTGCCAACTTGTGAAAAAATTAGTGCTCATGTGCTAGTGATCACTTTAATTTGTTTTGTGACTTAGGCTCACTTCATTTATTAGTGTATGTACTTTACTTTTAACATTTGGGAATCTTTTCATAATGTGAAAAATGTGTCAAAATAAGGATAGCTTCTAAGTAGTTTTGTATATATGTAGTATAGAGATATGGTAACTCCACCACTCACTTGTTACTGCAAATAAGGAGAAAATGAAGGAAAGCTGGAAACTGATTTCCATGTTCAACTTACTATAGATAACTTGCATATCCACCCCAGTAATAAACTACGCCCTAAAGAGCCTTTTGTGGATTGTATTAAGTTAAATTTGCTGTCTCACTGTGTATTTCACAAAAACTTGTGTGGGTTAAGACATACCATAGGTAAACTAATATGAAAGCATGATGAAAATAAATGCTGTGTTTTAAGTTATAAATTTTTTGATGGGGACCTTGCTGTTAGTGTGTTTTAAAACTTAAATTTATTACCCCACCCAATGCATTTCGAGAGTCATCACACTTTATTTTATTATTACATTCAGGAGGAGGGGGGGGAAAATCCCAAAACCCTGAAAAGGTCATTTTAAAAGTTTGGGGGATAAAGGAGGTTTAAAAAGGTTTGATCCAAAAAAGGGAAAAGGGAAAAGGCCCATTTTTTGGGATAAAGAGCCACTCACTAGCATAAAGGGCACCTTCCCTTTGGGATGAATTTGGCCGGGTGCTACGAAATTTTATGTTTAACTCGCCCCCCTTAAAGGGAAAATTTTTCCCACAAAATGTTTATATTTGACTCCTTTTATGTTTTGTGGCTATGGTTTAAAGTTTGTTAATTTTATTTTTTTTTAGTGCCTTTAAGCCCCTTTCAGGAAAATGCAAAATTAAAACATGTTTTAAACCCTTGACTGTCAAAACCCCCCCAAACCCTTAAGTGTCTCCTGGTGTTCGAAAAATTTAAAAAAAAAAAAAAAAAAAAAAATTTATAAAAAATGTTAAGTTTTTTTTTTTATTTTAGCCCCAAAAAAAAAAAATTGCCATCAAAACTTACCGAGATATAGAGGCATAAATTTGGGAGAAAATGAGCCGGTTAAAAAAAACAACGGCGACTCCCGCTAACCCGGAAAACTTTGGTTTACTTGTATTCAAAGGTTTCTTGTTTTTTTCACTATTTTTTTTTTTTAAAATAAATTTATGTGGCCTGTGATTTCCAAAAGAAAGGGTTGCAATGCATATATCCCACTCGTTGTATACAACACAATAATGCACAAAAAATAATTTTCAATAAAAAAGCGTGTAGGGCCCTGGAAGAAGAGAGAAATGTAGAGGAGAGAGAGAGATTTTGGAAATGTTGAGTAAATCCCGTGGGGGGGTTTTGAATCAAGTGGAGAGAAATTTTTTTGGTTTGGGGTTTTAAAAATGCTAAAGGGGGTAAAAATAAAATGGTGGGAAAGTATTGGGAAAAATTTGGGGGTGCCGGGGGTTAAATGTAAATGGGGGGGCCTTTTAATTTTGAGCTATGTGTAGAAAGAGATTTGGTAATAAGTAATACATATTTTTAAAAAAGAGGATAAATAAATATAAAGTAAGGGAAATTTAAATTAAAATAGTTTTTTAGATTATGTATTGGGGGAAAAAAAAGGTTGAGGGGTAGGTTTCCAAGGATGTACATTTTTTATAGAGGGGCAACTGATATATGATCATTATTTGGGGTTGAAAGGCCTACAGTTAGAGTAAGGGGTGAGGGGAAAAGGGAAGGTGGCAACAAAAAGAAGAGGGAGGTGAAAGGTAAAAAAAAAAGGGGAGGAGGAAGTTCGGGGTAAAATTTAAAGGGGGAATTTTGGGCAGAAAGGGGGGTGGGTGAAAGTTTAGGGGAAAAGGGGTTAAGGGGGTTTTGGAAAATGGGTTTTTAAAAATTTTGCAGTTTTAAAAATGTGGGGGGGGAAGTTTGGGGGTTTTATAGGAGGGGGGGGCAGGGGGAAAGGGGGAAAGTTGATTGGGGGAATGATGAAGAAAAGGGGGGTGTTTAAAAGAGAAAAAGGTCCCTTTATGAGGGTTTTTTTACAAAGCAAAAAGTGTTATAAAAGAGCAGGTAATGGGAGTAAAAGAAAGGTGAAGAGAGTGGTTTAAAAAGTGCAAAAAGGGGAGAGAGTAAGTGGGAGAGGCACTGTCCCAAGGGAAAATTTTTAAAGAAAATTAAAAAAAAAATTTTTGGGGTTTAAAAAAAGTTAAGAAAGCCTAGTGAAAGTTATTTTTCAGTTAAAAAAAAAGTTTGGGGAGGTTGTAATGGGGGGATGGAGGTATTAAAGGGAATGGCGAGAATATTTTGAGGAAATTTTTGAATGTTGAGGAAAGAAGGCGGGAATTTTTATTCCCTGGGCAGGGAGGTAAAACCCTTTTTTAGGAGTGAAGAAGAGCAGAATGTAAGTGTTGGGGGGGGTTTGTGAGGCATTACGTTAAGAAAGAAAGGGGGTAAAGCTGGAACTGATGGGATCATACAGAAATGTTAAAACAGGGGAGGATATAGTGTTGGGGTGGTTGGGACATTTTTTTAATAAAAGTATAAAAAGAGGGGAAGGTACCTAGGGATTGGCGGAAAAGCTTTTATAGTCCCCTTTTTAAAAGGGAAAGGGGCAAAAGAGATTTTTTAAAAAATTTTGGGGGAATAAGTTTACTGAGTATACCCGGAAAAAAAAAAAAAAGTGGGGTTTATTTTAAGGGGAAAAATTTTTGAGGAAAAACCCGAATGTAGGGTTTTCGGGGTGAGGGAAGGGGGTTTCAGAGTGGGTAGGGGGTTTTGTAGGGTCAAGTGTTTACATTGAAGCACTATTTAGATAAAGGGAGGGAAGTTTTTACTGGCTTTTTTGGAATTTTGAAAAGGGGATTTTGATGAGTGGATAAGGAGGCAAAAGTGGCAGATATTTCCCAAATAAAAAGGAATAGGTGGAAGTTATTTAAAAGCTGTAAAGAGTTTTTATGGGATAGTTGGGGGCTCAGGTTAGGGTGTGGAAGAGAAGGGGGGACTACTTCCTGGAAAATAGGTCTTAGGCAGGGGTGTGTAAGGGCCCCTGGGTGTTTAAAAAATATTTATAGATGGGGGTTTTAAAGGAAGTAAATGTAGGGGTTTGGGGAGGGGTGGGATTAAAAATTTTTTTTTGGGGGGTTTAAATTCCAAAAAAGGGAATTGACAAAAGTTTTCCTTTTTTCTGATATACTGTGCTTTTTGGGAAATTCTAAAGAAAAAATTTCCAAAAGGGTTTGGGAAGGGGTTTGGGGAAAGTGTGTAAAGAAGAAAGGTTTTAAAGTGAAAATAGAAAAGGGGTAAGGTATGAGGGTATCAATGATTTAGATAAAGGGGAAAAAATTTGGGTATCAAAAGGGGAGGAGGGGTTTTTTGGAAGAAGTTTAATGTTTTCAGATACGGGTTAAGTTTCGGGGGGGGGTTTTTTAAAAAAATTGGGGGTTTAAACAAGAATTGAGAGGGAAAAAAAGGGAGGGGTGTTGGGGGTATATGTGGGGGTCAAAAAAACGTTTCTTTGGAGGCCCAAAAAAGGGGAAAGTAAAGAAAGTATAGTTTAAACCCAAAACTCTTATATGGGTGTGGAAACTTGGGTTGGGAATTTCAGCAGCGAGGGACGGTTTGGGGGGCAGGGGGGGGGGGGGGTTGGGGCCCGTTTTTAAAGGGGAGTGGGTGTAAAATTTTTATGCAGAAAATTCAGGGGTGGGGGAAAATTTTGGGGGAAGGTGTGGGTTTTTAAAGTATTAGTCAGGGGCCGAAAAAGGGGGTTTTTTGAGGTTTGGGTTTTGGGCATTTTTAAAAAGAATGGATCAAAAAAAAAATGGCATGGAAAAACATTTTAAAACTAAGGGGAAGGGGAAGGGGGGGGTAGGGGTCATCCCCCGAAAAAGGGGTTTGGGGAGGGGGGTAAAAAGGGGGTTTTTTTGGCGAGGGGCTTGGACTTTTTCCCAAAAAAGCATGCGTGAGCGTGTTAGATAGGAGTGAAAGGAGACGGAATAAAAACTTGAACCGATGATCTTTTGAATTGAGCGGGGGAATTTTTAGTGAAGGATTGGGGAAACCCGGGTTATTTTCATATTCGGACTTGATCCGAAATGGAAGAAAATCCCTCACTTTAAAGGGGGGGTTTAAAATTTTTGGCGTTTGGAGGGATATTTTAGAAATTTTTATATGTAAGGTTCAAACTGTTGTTTTCTGAGCACCTCTGCAAAAACAGTATTATGGGGATGGGGTGAAAGTGTTGAATGATGATAAAAGTATTTTCTTTTTGGGGGATTTTCTTTTTTTTTTTGGGGTCACCCTGCCTCGGGGGGAGAGGGGCCGCTTTTGAAAAAAAAAAAAATTTTTTTTTTAAAAAAATTTGTTTACACAAACAGTAAAAAAAAAAGGGTTTTTTACATTGTTTTATTATATAATATATTATTAAATATATATTTAATATATATATATATTAATAAAAATAATATATATATATAAACAGTGCCCCCCGGTTAAACGAATTTTTTTCATTCCATAGTATGTTAGTGCCATACTGACCGAATTTTTTCCCTAAGGAATTTGTAAGTAGATTAGTCCATTTCAGACCCCCAAACAACACATACAAAACACTTACATAAAAACACTTACATAATTGGACCATTTGGGGGGATCGTTAAGCGGGGGTCCACTGATAATTTTTATATTAAAAGTACAGTCAGGACTGTTCCCTAGAAGTTCTAGCTTGGGAACTCTTTGAAACATGGTTCATACACAAGGTTTTTACACTCCTTACCATAAAGGGTGTGTCGCATTTTTTGGGCATTTTTTTTTATGTGCAAAGGATAAAACACTACTTCGTCTAGCAATTTTTTCCAGGATTAGCAGGCAAGTTGTGTTACGGTATTATCGTAGGTAAATGGTATGTGTCATCCTTCTCTCCTACCGATCTGCATTCCTTTCCTTAAACCTTCCTTCCTACATCTTTCCTTCGTCCTTCATCTTGGTCCTCTTTTTCTGCCTTCTCTTCTTCCCTCCTTCCGTTCTGGTTGCTATAATATAATAAAAATATATAGTCACTGGATACTTTCATATAACTGCTATTATCTTCATTCAGCAAGCTTGTCTTGTGTGTGAGTGTGTGGCTTCTAATTGTCTTGAGGCATTATCAGCAGCTGTGAAAATGACATATTGTCTCATTACTCAATACCCCTACTACCTGTCAAAACAAAGGGGTTGGATGCTCCCTTCCCCTCATCCTATTTAATTATCTTTCTCTCTCATTCTCCTTCATTCTTCTGGTATCCTGGGCTATTATCTTCATTCAGCAAGCTTGTGTTGTGTGTGAGTGTGTTGCTTCTAATTGTTCTTAGTCAGGGTAGCAGCTGTCAAAATGACATATTGTC